ACAAAGAATACGATTCGTATTACCATTCTCGACTCTTAATCCTTGTCTGAATTCAGTCCCCCCCCCCTCTTGCGCCAAGCGCGGAAGCTTTGACGTTTCATTAAATCATTAGAGAAAGAAGACGATTCGTATTTACCATTCTCGACTCTTAATCCTTGTCTGAATTCAGCCCCCCCCCCCTTGCGCGAAGCGCTGAAGCTATGACGTTTCATTAAAATTATGAAAGAAAAAAGACGACTCGCTGTACCCTTCTCGACTCTTAATCCTCGTTTGAATTCAGTTCCCCCCCCCACCCCCCCTCCTACGCGAAGTGCGTAAGCTTTGACGTTTCATTAAATTATTAGAGAAATTAAACGATTCGTATTACCATTCTCGACTCAATAAAGAAGGAATCCGCTACTGGATGTAACGCTAAGAAAACTATGAATTATCACATTGAGCAGAGAAAAGAAAGAAAGATGGGGAGAGCGAAGAGACAAAAAGAGCGAGAGAGATAGAAAGAGAGAGAGAGAGAACGGGAGGGGGGATAAGTTAGTGGTGGCATGGTGACCAAGTACGTTACGAAAAAATCATTGATTTTTTTTTACTTTAAATGAGCTCTTTAATATGAGTCATGAAAATATACATATATCTTATAGTCTGACCAAAGATAAGAAAACAGTGACCTTTTTTTTAATACGACGGATTACATGAATTCAAATTCAATTACTGTTATCCATTTGTGCAAAAGAGGTTACAGACGGAATACTTTCGTTAATCAATTGGAAAAGTATCTTCATTATGCGGGCAAAATGCCGGCAAAATGGCATTTCCTGAATGAACAAAAACAAAAGCACATTATGTATTGAAAGGAACACAAATTTAACCAGTCTAATTAATATAAGCCCATAGAGGTATGCAGAAATATTAAAAACAGCCACCTACTGTCGTACACTCCTTTTTTAACAAGCTGAATGTAACCACTTGTTGCATATAGCAAAGTAAATAATGAGATACAACTTCAAATAAATAATGACAAACATTTTGCACGTGGATCTAGTCTATTATCATTAAGGAGGAGATTGAAACATTACTGATCATCAGGGGCGGCGATCCTGGGGGACGGGGGGACACGTCCCCCCTCAATTTTTTTAGTGGGGGATCGTCCCCCCCCCCCTGAAAATTTGAAAAAGTGCAAAGAAATAACTGTATAGCAAATACTGACTAAAGACTGCAACAAACTTTAAGGCTCTGGAAGGCCCAAGAGTGCAGCGTTTAGATGAATAAAATTGCAAAAACCTTCTCGCTCGGTAGCTACGCTCCCTCGCATAATAATCTTCAGAGTGTACAAGTAGATATTGTAAAAAAAGTGAAGTGTGAAAAAGGTATATTGCTTGTTTTTATACTATTGTTTTGCTAAGGAAAAACAAACAAAAAACCTGTAAGGGGATATTCACTTCCGTCACCGTCACCCCTCTCGTTCACTATGCTCCCTTGCACTGGCGTAATGATGGGGGGGGGGGGAGAGAGACCTTAGGGGTAGTTGCCCTCCGAATAAAATTCAAACGTAGTTTATTTATAATTCGATACCAGTGATTTACAAATGTTGCTGAAATGGCATGGTTTTTCCCTTAACTTCCGGGGGCTCTTCCCCTTGGACCCATAAGGCGTGCCCCTGGTCACTCATCTGACCGTAATTAAATGCCTAAAAACCCTGAGCTTCCGGGGGCTCTGCCCCCTGGACCCCACCAGGGGCCCTGAGGCGAGCCCCTGGTTGCTCATCTGACCATGATTATATGCCTAAAAGCCCTGAGCTTCCGGGGGCTCCGCCCCCTGGACCCCAGCAGGGGCCCTAATGCGGGCCCCGGATGCTCATCTATCCGTTATTTAATGCCTAAAACCCCGCCTCATGACCCCGCCGGGGCTATGCCCCTTGACCTCAAGCCAATTTACGCTCCACTTATACTTCGCTCACTTTGCTGTACCTGACCATTTTTTTTCTGCCCCCCCCCCCCCCCAAAAAAAAAACACAACACGTTTTTGCTCATTAATTACTACACTGCTCCCCGTCCCTAGCATTTCGCCCCCCCCCCCCCCCGGTCATGAAAAGAAATTGCCGCCCCTGCTGATCATGAAAGGTTACTTATATTATGCCACTAATCATGAGGTATACTTCCGAAATAAAGTTCGATATTCCGAAGGTTCGAATACACGTTATAGGGTTCCGTGTCATTTCGGAATGATGAACCCTATTTCATTTCAGGAATAAATTATGAGCCCTCTTTCTTTTTCAGAAATACTGAACCTTGGGATTATGGACTTTTGTTTCGGGGGAGAGAAGGTGTGAAAAAAACATTTGTCTCAGGTTACTGACTGACAAAGAGATTCGATCATACACAGTATTTTTATTTTAAATGATATTTTATTTCCTTCCTCATAATTTCACATAACAAAGAAATTCCCGTAACAAGAAATTATCAAAATAAGCAATATAAAACAAGATCTTTGATACAAGACACTTCATGAGTTACATCAATCAATGAACATAGAAAAAATCTCAGATTCTACATAGCATTGCACATTTCATCCTTGTGAATGTTTCGTTCATCTCCGTCATTCCAAGATCACTGAAGAATGGGACGCCCTCTCCATTGACAGCTTCATCATGTTTGTGGGCGCATTGGCGTATCGAAGGAGGTGTTTTAGGTGTGGCAAACAGGTGGTGTTTTAGATGTTCTAACACACCCCCCCCCCCCTTCCCGCTCATTCATCGGCTGGCTGATTCGCCGCTAAATATTTTCTCACAAATTGGGCTAAAAAACACCTTCCCTTAAAAAATCCTGGCTACACCCTTGTGTGGGTGGTACCGGGGGCGTTATGCCACGATGTAACTCACTGATCCTTGTCGGACGAGGCCATACTCGAAATAAGTCGACATTAGTGACTCGGTGACATTTGAAGCAGAAGCTGTGCTCGCGGGGGTTGGGGGCAAGGTGAGGGGCACAATGCCCCCAGTTTGTCCAGTACCACAAAATAGCCCTTTTAACTTTGCAAGAAGTGCCCCTTTTTACATAGGAAAAGTGCCCCTATTCCTTTGACAAGTGTCCCTATTACTGATTAAAACTGACCCTTTTCCATTCTCATAAGTGCCCGAGAAATGTCCCTATTTATCTCTAATATTTTCATCTCTGATAATTGCCCTATGCAAATCTGAAAGGTGCCCATTTCCCATTATCATAAGTGCCTTTTTTGTATCACTCGTGACTAGTGAGTGCCTCTGTTCAGGTGTAATTAGAAGTGCTCAATTTTCATTTCTGATAATTAGCCTTTGTACTTTGACACGTGCTCCTTTTCTTTTCTAAATAATAATAATGATAATAGGCTAATAATAATGAAAATGTGTCTAATCCCTTTTGATAAGTGTCCCCTTTCCTCTTTGTCCCTTATTTAAAGCGATTAGTGGCAATTTCCGCGAAGGATTGCTCACTATACGCTTAGACCATCACACCCAACTGTATAAAGAGAAACAAATATTGAAATCCTCCCTGATAATGTAATCACAATGTAGGGGTATATACGAATGTCTAATTAAAAAAAAAAAAAAATCGCCTTGAGATTTCCCTTTGTATGTGCCCTTTCTTTTTTCCAGAAAGTACCCTTTTTGTTGCACCCCACTTAAGAAGTCACTCCGCCGCCCCTGACTTGAAAGTTCAATATGAAACATTACGTCTATGATAAAAAAATTATAATATTGTTTTATTTGATAATAGATGGAAAGCATTGCCATTGTTTTGTCATATCGTTCTGACTTATGTAACTATGAAGCCTAAATTTATTTTTCGTGATTTGTTTATATATATATTTATATTATTTGCAGTCAACAGCAATACTTAATAAAGACAACTTCAGTTTTGTTGAAAAAAACTAAAGGGGAAAATTAATTTATTACATGTCATTTGTTGTGTGGGGGCGGGGTCGCGCTCAAACCCCATACGCATATAGACTAGATGAGACTCCCTGGTATTGATTCATTGATTTGTATTCGACAAGCTTCCAACATACAACAATATACAATAATAACAGATCAAAAGTAAGTCAGCTTGAACAGGATAACCCACGAAAGCTCGAGAGCTTATTTCCAGTGGGGTCCCTTACAGATGTATAAAATTAATAAGTTAAAATAGTAACAATTATTTACAGACAGATAAGAAAAAAAAAGAATTACTTATTAAAGATAATAATAATAACAACATTAAACTGATGATAGAAATGATAATAAGTAGGCCTACAAGAAGAAAAGGAAGAAGGAGAAGAAGAAAAAGAGGCGGAGTGGAAAATAATGATGAAAGTGTAGAATTTCTATAACGTACGAAAACATAAGTATATACAAAATGAAAAAGTATGAACCGGCAGAAGAATACAAATTTCAGTCATATAACATGTCATTTACTTCTCTTATCTGACTGTCAAGTATTAGGTATTCCTTTAATTTCCTAAGCATAGTTTTCTATTTCCTTTACACCATTGGAAAGGGAATTACAATGTTTTATGGCATTGTAATAAAACGAATTTCCAATACTACCTACTCTTTCTGGTAAGTTAAAGTTGAATCGGCTATTTCTTGTATTATAATCATGTAAGTCATGTATAATATATAAGTGTATGTTTGTTGCAGACTTGCGTAAAATTAACCGATTGTTGGATCTTTAGAATTAAAATGACTGTCGCCCGCCGCAGCGTGAAATGAATTGCCATTGAACAAGTTCCGAGTTCTGACTGCTGCAGCCCCCCTCCCCCACCCTCTTCTTCTCAATCTACGGCCATCGAAATCCAAGTTGGTTTGAGTTCGTTGTCTACGGCTCACTGGGTGACCCTTATTTCTTGCTTGTCTTAAATTGTTCGTTTTTTAACAAATCAAATGTCACCGCTGCTGGTCACAGTACGCATTTGCGTGGCATCGATTTAAAGCGCACAGCAAAAAGTATTGTAAAAAAACCTGTCGTAAGTCTAAAATGATACTGTAACAAAAGGCGTGCCATATCTATTCAGAGCGTGGTGCAATGTAAACAAACGCGAACAAAGTGAGCCACGAATTTGCGCCTTTTAAATGGCAATTATACTTGCAGCCTGAAGTACACAGTAAACTGCAACATGGCGGCCAGTGGCATGGCCAGAATGAGGCATTTTGAGAACAAGATGCCCGACTGTGGATACGACCAGGAGGTCCAAATTCCAGTCGACCAGATCCGTGCTCGAATCGTAGCGGTAATTGAAGCTCTTCGCCAGAACGTGGTGCCGAGCCCACAGGCCTGCGAAGGCGGCGTGTACGTCGGTATTGCGGGTATAGCGTACGCTCTTCTGTATGTGGCTCAATCAAAACAGATTCCTGAAAAAGAGAGTGAATATTTAGAACTCGCTGAGCAGTATATCATTCAAGCCTTGGACTATGAAGAGAAAAAACAGACGCCAGAAATGCGATCAGCCTTTCTCCTCGGATCAGCTGGAGTTTATGCAGTAGCTTCGTTGCTGTACAGAGCATTGGGAAAGGAAGAAAAGGTTCAAGAATACATAGGAAAGTAAGTTGAAGAAACGGCATAGCGCAGCCAGCTGTAGCAATATTAAACACTCTAGCAGTGTGAGTCATTTTGGACCAACAATTGGTGAATACACATTTATTGGACACATTTATTGGACAATTTTTCAATTTTCCCTTTTGTATCGTTTGTCACCTTTATTTATGGTTGGATATTTGGAAAACCATTAGCGCTAGTGTGGTTCTGTATCCATTTTTTTAGCAGTTTAATATCCTTTCTTAGCAGATGAATTTGAGCCCAATTTTTTACTAATTTTAATAATAATCATATATTGCATTTTCCACCTGAATTTGGATCAAATCGGACATCTGGAAACCTTCGTTTAGGGCTTCGATGTCAACGTCATTGCTCAGTACCGTCTCTACGCTGTAGTCCTGCACCTCAAACTGAAGCTATCAGTCCAAAATTATGCAGACTTCTCGTATGCGCGATACCATAAACCCAGTTTGAGGTGCAGGACTACAGCGTAGAGACGGTACTGAGCGACGACGTCGACATCAAAGCCCTAAACGAAGGTTTCCCGATGTCGAATGTGATCCAAATTCAGGTGGAAAATGCCCGGCCCCCCAACTCCGAGAATGGACGGACCCATGCGTGTTACCAAAATGTCGGGTAAAGGGGTACTTTTCGTGCGACAAAGTCCAGCCCGAGAATTGTAAAAAAAGGGGTGTATTAACTTTTCACCCGGGAGATTTCTTTAAAAAGGGGGTGTTTTTTCTTTTTTTCTCTCATCTCTTTGGACTCCTGAGAAATTATTCTGAATTTAGGGGGGTACATTAAGCATTTTTCATGATTTAGGAGGGTCTCCAACAGGAAAAGCCCGCGAAAGGGGCGTTCAGAAATGTTGGCAGTCCTCAGATAGGGGGTGCTTTCAAAAAGAGGGAACAAGCATATGATGCGTACCCTAAATAACACTGAGTGGGGGGGGGGGGCTGGGGGAAAATGCAATATATGATTAGATGGAGTCTGGCTAACTCGGACCAGGGGACAACTCGGTCCAGCTGCAAAAACGGTCATTTTTTGCCTGTTTAGGTTTAGGGTTAGGTTTAGGGTTAGGATAAGGATTAGGAATAGGATTAGGGTTAGGGTTAGAGTTAGGGTAAAATGACAAAAAATGACCATTTTTGCAGCTGGGCCGAGTTGTCCCCTGGGCTGAGTTAGCCCGGATCCGATTAGATCTATGATTAAAATTAGTTAAAAATTGGGCTAAAATTCCTTTGCTAAGAATAGATTTTTAAACTGCTAAAAAAAAACAAATGATTTACTCAGAACTAGACTAGATCAACACATTTCGAATATCAAGACTCACCGATGTTCTATCAAAAGTGAGGGCCTCCCCACATCTAGTCAATATTCATAGGATTTTGGTCAGAATGGACGAAAAAGTGGTAGGGCTACACGCCGAGTTATAATTTTTGCTCAAAAGCTGCACAGCACGATATGCAAAGCGTGGAGTAAGGGTATTTTCAAACTGTAACTGCTCGTGATCCCTTGGGACAAGAGAAAAAATAAGTGCATGGGTATATTCCTTACAGCTGAACTTATCCTTTGGGGGCTCACTTCATGGTACCATGTTACCATGGAAACAATGTTTAAAATCGCTGTTTTGATCGAGATATTTTTAGAATTTTGGGGAATATGGAGAAAAACCTGCTCTTTCATATTCTACTTCTGCTTCAATCTATGGTAATACTCATCAATGCCTGTTCAGCATCTAGATGAGGGTAAAGCATAGAGTTGTTATATACAGCTCTACCTTATTTGCCGGCGTAAAGGCCGCAGTATTTTTGGAAGAGAAAATATCAAAAAGTCGGGGTGCGGCCTATGCGACGAAAGAGTAAAAAAAATTTTAAAAAGTAAGTCAAAACCAGCACGAATTTGCACATATGGGACTAGATCTACGAACGGTACAATAACTATACATTTCCACACATCTTACTGACAATTTTATCTTGCATTGTTGAAAACGAAAACTTCCAAAAACAACATCTGCCGATAGATCTTGATCTAAGTTCGTGCCAATGCATTGCAAAAGTAAAAGAAGGGCCTGTTTAACGGAGCTGCCGCGAAGCATCCAGCACGCGAAGTCGCTATTTTGGATCCATTTCAATACACAAGAGAGGCGCAAGGTATACATCACAAAAAACTACATAAGCTAGCAGCAGTGCGGGATGGCCGAGCGGTCTAAGGCGGTGATTTTAGTCAAATCAACATTTATACGCAAGAGATCAAATCCCGACTTCGACAAAAAGTCTTTTTTTTAAATTTTTTATTTTTATTTAAATGTCAAAATCAGGGGGTGCGGCCTATACGGCGCTGCGGCCTTATCGCCGGCAAATACGGTATGCGGTACAGTTCCTGAAAAGACTAGAGAACTACTGGTAAATAGTTTTAAGAGCCACTTTGAACTGCTCCAAAGAGAGCAGTTCGACGATGATCTGAGGTAGCTCGTCCCAGTTCTTAAGTGTCCTGGGGAAATAACTAAATTTGTAAATGTCCATCGAAGAGCCTAGTCTCATATATCGTTGTTGTTGACTCCTCCTTGTAGTTTGCTCCCTCGGTTTGATGTAATCTGGTATTGGTATCGCAATTTTTGTTATTTGCTATCTTGTAGAACATGGACAATCGTGCCCGTTTTCTTATTTCTTCAAGAGATGGGAGATTAAGTTGTTCTCGACCGAGTGAATAGAGAACTTCGGGAAGCAGACGGCGTTTCGTAACATTTTCGCAATATTTGGAATACTAGAGGGGAACTGTGCATTGATAAGGACAGTTGTAGATGGATTTGATGGCTGGAGTGGGTTACATTTCTTTTGGTTAAGCCAAGTTAATCTTGAATATCTTTTCCTCGGGAAATTCTTTCGAGACCGAGTCTCAATTCATTACCGCTTCCTGAACATACACATGTGTAGTCATGTACAGTAATTAACAAAATTGTATTCATGCGACCAAACTCATCTGGAACTTTCTTTGTCGCGAATTCATTGTAGTCCAAAATGAACATCGAAATCACTCATCAACTATCACTCTGCTACAAATTTGGGGCTTCAAAGTTGAAAATGAAAATGATTTTTGGCAATTTTGTCACATTCAGGTCTACCTTGAGTGGGCAGGATTCACCAAGATTATCCACTGCAGATTGACCAGTTATGCATACATGTAGTTTCTCTTCAGAAAAATCATTCTCATTTCTACTAACTGCATTTTTCGTCAATGCTTAAAGGGCCACTCTAACCAAATCGGCTAAAAAATGAAAAAAGAAATTTAGAATAATTTTTGACGGAGATTCTGAACATGACAATGATTTTTCTTAGAAATCATCAATAATTCTGGAATCTAGCTTTAAAAATGATGACTCAGAACGCTCAGAAAAAAAGCACAGTTTCGGAGCTGTATTGCGCAATAGGATATGACGTCACTGGCAGGAGCCTCTCCGGTGAAAAGGAGGGTGATTTAGGCATTACCGGCGTAATGTATTTAAAAGGGCAAACAATGATATTAATTGGAAGAAAAAAAACTTCCGAAAAATAAAATGTACTTGATAATCCCAGGACGTTTCTGGCAATTTCTTCATTCCTAATTATAAAATTATCAAATCGGACATGCCCGCAATGACGTCAAATGCGTCATCGAGCCACGTGACCGTATTACCTTTTTTCAAGGGGCGTAGCCGAGCAAGCGCGAGATCTGTAAAAAATTGATGATGGTATTATAATTTTTTGGTCAATTTAGAGATTTTCTCGAAAATCAGAGGCTGGAATATTAATAAGTAGAGGTGTATACATGTTTTAAAAGGCTATTTTAGTTGGGTTAGAGTGGCCCTTTAAGGATGATACACATGGTACATGTACTGTATGTAAACAATATGACATTAGAATATAGTTTGATGATCTAACAGACAGTACAGGTGTTCTTGTATAATGATTGGATTAATGATATCATTTCTTAGATATGCTGGTCTAGCAGGGATGTGCTGTCAACCTAGTGATTATCTTGGCTGTGGATCTGATGAAGTGCTTGTAGGAAGAGCTGGTTACTTATGTGGAGCAGAAATGCTTACCAAGAAACTAGGTCAACAGGTCAGTACATTTTACCTCAAAGACAATGATTGAACTGGCAAGTAGAATATGTTACAATCGCCATTCGCTCCTCTGTTTTACGAGTGAAAAAAATGTGTATGTTGTATGTCATAATGTGTTTATGCACCATTTGATCTGACTTGTAAATGAATTGTAATGTCGATGTTATTAACTTGTTATGCAGAAATGATGATAAATAACAAATAAATTGAGGGCGTAACTCCGACCCAAGCATGTGACTGTAGCCTGTATTGTGTGTTAACCTGATATAGAATGCTTCCAGTTGCTCAATCTTATTTTCTTGTATTCCTTCTTAGGTTTTGAGTGATGAGGTGACCTTTACGATCTGTCGAGCCATAGTGGATTCTGGGAGGAGCTACTCACAAAGACATAAATCCCAATCACCGCTCATGTATGCATACTACAACACTGAGTATTTAGGTAGGTTCTTGAAATTATAATGGTGGCATCTCATATAGTGCACATGTCCGCCACGCCGTAACACTCCTCCCGCTTCAACATTATTATCCCAGTCATAGCTGGCGGCCAAACATGTGATGCTCTGGCATGTCCATTACCAATTTACCCCTGAGTGGAGATTGGCAAGTATGAATTAATATCTTGCCAAAGGAGGCTGGGATTTGAACCCTCAGCCCTTGGGTTGAGAGTAAAGTGAATGAACCACCATACCATGATGCCTCCACAAGTGGTAGTGTTGAGGCTGGATAGATAACTATGAACCACTATACAACGAAACCTATATAAAAACCACTTACAGATATATAGACCGGTAGTGGTAAGATTGCGGTTCAAGGGCTTTGGGTGCGAATATCCAATCAATATTGTTTAAATATTGCCTTCAGAGGTTTAGATGGCAGTACCGTAATTAACGGTGAATAAACCGCACCTTTTTTGCCGCCGAAAAAAATTCAAAGTCGGGGGGTGCGGTTTATACACAGTACACCCAATTTTTTTTTTTTTTTTTTTAAGTTTCGATTTATGGCGCTATGCCTGGCAATGTCTCCCAGCTCAGTAATCGGTGTGTTGACTCACCATTTGGAAACTAAAAGAACACTCAAATTGGTCTGTCATCTTGGTTTGAAATTAATCTTTCTGATAGATCTCAATATGTAGTTTATAATAATAATTCCTCCAATTTTTCTTCTATTTCATGGTGTTCCACAAGGTCCTATCCTAGGTCCTCTGTTTTTTAATGATCTTACACATTCAGCTGCATCTCGCAGTTAAATGAAAGGCCTTCGGGCGTGGGTTTTTTAACATGGACCCGGCAAAAAAAGTCAGCAAAAAAAAAAAAAAAAAAAAACTTTTGTATTTTTGTATTTTTTTTAAAGGGCGAAAAAGAGGGGTGCGGTTTATACACGAGGGCGGTTTAGACAACGTTAATTACGGTACTTCAACCTAAATTTGCAAAAAAGCAGAAATATACATGCCCACATGCACAATGTTGATGTGCATTCACGATATCTATCCAGGACGGATCGATATGATATTATACCAAATATATCAATTAGTAGGCGGTTTCCCAGCAAAATTTGTATCATCAGGTATTGGTCAAAAACATTTTCTAAAACATGATCAGTAATAAGAGCATTCATTTCATTTTTTGAGCGGGGGGCATTTTCAAATCTGGTCTATACCTTTAACTATTTTCAGGACTATATTCATACTTGTACCTGTAGTCTTTAGATCTGTTTTGGATTCATGATTAGATCTTTATTTTGTATTTATTTGTTTCAGGTGCGGCTCATGGTCTTTCTGGGATTGTTCAGATGCTACTCAACTACCCTACCTTTGTGAAGTCAGACCCATCCATTGAAGCAGATGTAAGGAGATCTGTTGATTATCTCATCTCCTGTAGATCATCCGATTACAACATACCACCAACTGTAGCTGAGTGTGTACAGCAACGTCCACTTGAACATCAGCTCGTTCATTGGTGTCATGGAGCACCTGGTAAAGCAGTTTTTATTTTGTCTCTCTTAAAAGTTACACCCGTCTCTAATGTGTTTTATACATTGTTCATTATCATAAAGTAACCACATTAATCACTATCAGGTATATAAGCGTTTGCACAAACATATTTTCCAATGAAATTGTTACATTAGACTTGTACAACTCAGCAAGTAAATCTTGTGTTAAAAAAAACAACTGTGGACTCTAATATTCCTGTTAAACAGCCGTAGAGGTAGGTGAAAAAACACCGTACTTCGAGACGATCTAGGACAATTACCCCCTAGACAGTCATCCCCACCCTCCCCCCCCCCCCCCCCCCCCCCGGAAAACTACATCCTAAGGACTATAACCCCCGAAAATTACCCCTCGTGGATGATTACCTCCCCTGAGAACTACCTCCTTGGACAATCACCCCTACCCCTCCCCCCCTCAAAAAAAAAAATGCTTTTATTAAAACCAACTTATTATCAGAGTGGGCTTCCCCGTTATGGAGCGGGGGGGGGGGGGGGGGGGGGGGTAATCGTCCTTGATTATTTGGAAATTTGATCCTTTTTTCCAAATATCAATCATGAACCAGAACTATAATTTATCTTAAAGAAACTCAATATTGAATAAGCCAACAGATAGGGGGGGGGGGGGGGGGAGTGCCCACTTTTTCAAGTACCCCAAAAGTGCCCCTTTTTACATAGGAAAGGTGCCCCTGTAAATTTGTATGAAGTGCCCATTTTACTGTGACAACTGCCCCTTCACCTCTTATCATTGCCCTTTTCAAATCTGAGAGGTACCCCTTTAGTTTGAAGTGCCTTTTTACTTTGTAAGAAGTTCCCCTTCCCCTTTTAGTAAGTACCCCTTTTTAACCTTTCGACAAATACCCATTTCCCATTCTCATAAGTGAGCCTGATTTCATCCCTGATGAGTGCCTCTTTTTAGGTGTAAGAAGTTCCCCAATTTCACCTCTGATAATTACCCTCCGTACTTCCCCTTTTTCTTTTCTAATAAGTGTCCTTTGATAAGTGTCCCCTTTTCTTATTGTCATTAAACGAGCCCCTAATTTAAAGTGACTATAAGCATCCCCGATGTAATCACAATGCAGGGGTATACATGTATATACCAATGTCTAAAAAATTGTATAATTTTGCTTCGAGATTTCTCTATGAAGGTGTCCTTTTTTCCCAGAAAGTGTCTTTTTTTTTGTTGGTGCCCTCCCACTTTGGAAGTTGCTCCACTGCCCCCTGCCCTGGTATTGCACATTATTACCCTGTAAACAATCCAGCCAAACTAGGCTTGCTCTTATTGTATAATCACAGCATTGATCTACATTTGCCACACTCAACCCAGGTAATGTAAATGGATACCTGGCAGGAATTAATTCTTTGAAATGCTAGAGCACCGAAATGGCAGCACAGCTAAAGCTGGGGTAATAATCTCCAAGTTTGGAAGTGCTTGGTGATTGTAATGAGCGCTATATAAAAACTATTACGAATAGGTATAGCACACCAAAAATAAGTACAACAAACACATGTTATTTGATGATTGCAAATGATCAAGCTTTATGAAAGCTTCAAAAAATAAAAAACAGAATAAAAATCGGTCAATGCGTTGTGTTTTTATACCATTTTTTTTATATCGCAAAATTACTGAAAAACCTGCCAGAAATGGTCAAATTGGCAAAAATGTTTCACAAATTATTCAGAAAAACCAAACAAAAGATAAGAATCTGCAGACTTTCAGCTACATCACAGTATAGTTTCTTTAAAAAAATGTCAGATTTGAGGATTTATGACGAAAAAAAAAGTTTGGTGACCCCAGTACAGTTGTGGCTACCTTGAGTGTATTCAATGAGTGAAACTCATGAGGATATTGCATTTTTGTAGGGTAGTTTTATACATTGAAGTGCATTTTCACCAAGCAGAATAACAGTCAATGGGCGATCAGCGGGCCATGTCACACATGGCTGAAAAGGCAATATTCTAATTAATAATTTAACATATTTCCCACATGCTTATAACAATGAAACTACACAGAATTGTAGTTAAACGTATGCTTGAAAGATATGTGAAATACAAATTTAAAAATATTGTTCAGTTTGTTTAAAATAAATTTACGAAAATTGCTACATTGTATTTCTACCAACTGACTGCTGTTGTGTGTGTGTATGTGCATGGGGCAGACTGTGTGCACAGGCAGTGTGATCACCCTAGAATACTAACAATACAAGATTCAAAGATACATGTACTTGTAGAGGTGGCTCAGGGGAGCAAATTACAATTGCAAACTCCTTTAAAAATTACTTAATAAATCATTTGTTAAAGTGCTTCCATATCTAATATTATAGTGTGTGTCATTTAATAACTGCAGCAAATTTAGTGCTTTTAGTCAAAAGTGCATGATTCTGCCAAAGTATGTATCGCTATGCCGCTGTACTATATTCACTGTGGTACATTTCTTAGCAGGATCAAATTGCTGCACACATCACTCAACTTACTTGGGCCAATTACAAAATACTATATATTATTTGCATGAATATGGGCTCTGGTTCCCAAACCCTTTCCTACATAATCTCGGAATTTGACTGGCCTTGTGCGGTGCCCAATTATTCTTCAGAGCTTCAAATCATCAAAATAATTATAAAGTGACAGTCTGGAGCATTTTTAGAAAATGCAAACTGTTACATGTTGAATGCATGTTTAAAGCTTATATGCGGTAGTTTATAGGGGGATTAGACCGCTCTGCAAGGTCACTGGACAGGTGGTTATCTCATCAACTCAGCTCTCAGTTAACATAAGAAAAAGAGGATCATGGGGGACTAATGGTCACCGATTAGGCATTGTTTGTTACGTAGAGGGCACAAGTAGCTACCAGTAGTGCAGTGGGCCTTTAAAGAAAAAAATCATATCTTTCTGAAGGATTTTAAAGAAAATGAGTTGTCAATGATTGTTAAAGATGTATTAAAATGAAGTGATATTGTTGTTTGTTTCAGGAGTGATCTATCTGTTTGCCAAGGCGTTTCTACTGTGGAAGGATCCTATGCATCTGATTGCAAGTAGAAAATGTGCTGATCTGACTTGGCAGAAGGGTCTTCTGAGAAAAGGTCCTGGAATCTGTCATGGAATCGCTGGAAATGGTTATGTCTTCCTCCTTACATACCGTCTGACTGGAGACTGTAAGTTTATTCACAGAGCGCTGCAGTTCTCAGAGTTCATGCAGACTGATGAGTTTGTTAAGGGGGCTCGTTGCCCTGATGCCCCCTTCAGTCTGTTTGAGGGTTGGGCAGGTGCTGTTTGCTATCTTACTGATTTACTGCAGCCTCACAATGCGGAATTTCCCTTCTTTGATGTCTTCTAATAAAATATCAATACATGTATACATCCAAATATATTTTAGGTTTGGTTGTTTGATTTTTTCCTATTTGTTTTTTTGGTTCATTTTTACTAGCTACATGTAGATAGCTAGGGTTAGTGTTACTGTTGAGGGGTAGCAAAGGAGGCCAGTCAGGCTTCCATACTAACTTGTTTTTTGTATTATTGTTTGACCCATTGTTCAATCCATCTGTAAGTGTATGTATATTACCATGTATCATATAATAGAATAAAATGAAAGCTACAATGTTCCTCTATGAGTGATACTGCACAATACTATGTTTTGAAGGAATGTTTACCTGTAGGTGGTGGCATTCTGGGTTGTCCACCGGTTATTTTCTCTTTAATTGTTTTTCTCCCATTTTTGTTTGTTACCATGATCAAATCAGAAGTGCTAAAATAGATCGTACATGAAGATTTCAAAAGATTAAGGTCATAAGCTCAAAACAGATCTCATAAAATGTCTTCTTTCTGTTTGAGCTGGACAATTTAAGAAACCTGGCTGAATGTGTCAACATCCCAGCATGTGTTAATAATTGGCTCAAGTGGTCTAATGTCATACTATATTAGGCTATTGGAGGATCCTGAGGACTCCCCTCTCATCTCACTTGTGAAGTGACCTATACCCATACAATTTGGCACTGCATTTCATGAAAGACTAAGCCAAAGTAAAATATGGGTTAAAGCTGTGAAAGGTGAAAGGTTGATGAAATATCTATTAAAAGCATTTTTCTCTCACTGATTGTACAACTGTGAGATATGATCACAGTAAATTCAATATCTATTAAAAGCATTTTTCTCTCACTGATTGTACAACTGTGAGATATGATCACAGTAAATTCAATATTGGGAGCTATGCGGCTGTGACATCACATGAACAATCAAAGTTACATTTTGCAAAGTATTTTACTTTTTGTATGTGCTGCTCAATTTGATACAGTTTATTAGCAAGCATGTTGACGTTAGCACATGCTCAAGAAACTTGATAGTAAAGAAGAGCGCATAACATGTGACCATATCTAAGCCAATATTTTAATCAGAATTCACATGACCTATTAAAAAAAATTTAATCAAAAATTATGATTGTGCCCTCAATATCTTATGAATGTCTTACTTGTTAAGCTACATGCACCTGTAGATCATACAAGTAAAAACCTTCAAATGCATTCATGTAAAACTACTAGGATCTATGCATCTGTCTTCATCGATCTAGTGAATCCTTTTTCTGACTTATTTTATATCTTTATTCATTTTTTGTAAGACATTTAGATTTAGATCTGGGCCCTGTCTTACAAAGAGTTGATATTGATCTGAATCAATATCAAGTCCCTAAATCAATCACAAGTCTGCAGTCTCTTATGTACATAGTTGTGATTGATATCAATCACAAATAAGTTGCGATTGATATCAACTCTTTGTAATACAGGGCCCAGAATAGTAAGTTGCAATGTATTTTTATATCAAGAAATGTATGTATTTGAAGATATTTAATGTCAATCAGATTTGTTGAAGTAAATCAATGTGAACAGCTTTAATATCTACCGAGTAGAGCTACCGGTATATCAATTCTACCAAGTATAGTCATATCATTTCTACAAGCTACCCACAGAATAGTATGTAGATGTTATCATAGATGTTATCATAGATGTTATCATAGATGTTATTGTAGAGTGTGTGTTTGTACAAGATGATTGTCATGTTCACTTTCTTTATGAAAGTACTTTAACAAAAATCAACTCTCAACAACGGTAAACGGTACTCATTTTCCCATCTCATTGTTACTCTAAATACTTTGACCGTTTTCTTACTTTCTGTTTATATTTATTTATGGATATTAATAATATAATAGTAATTTTGTTTACCTAGCCAAGCCACATGAGCATCAGTGCTGTTCTTCCTGTGCACCGGTCCACTATGTTGATAAATGAAGGGACAATAATGTGCATGTAAAGTGTGTAAGTGACATTATTTTTCCAGTAATTCTTGTAGTCAATGAAGTAATAAACTTCTTGTCACAATTCAGCATTTCTAGCTACTAAATGAACTCATTATTAAATTCTTGCAAATTTGAAAGATTGTTGTATTGTATCAATAGATTCTTAATGGAAATGGAAGGTTGCTTTGGTGTACGGTAGAAATATACAAATCTTTTGACTTGATTGTTGTTTTTAGGAATGCCAATATGTACTTGACTTCTCAGCTTGGTATAATTCAGATTACAGCAATGCATTTGCATGTATTTTAAGCCAGAAGATTTGGTATTTGTTAGACTTTTATTATTCTGAATATTTTCATTTTTAATAGAACACATTTTAGTATGTGCTATAATTGTTTTTCTTCTTCATAATGCATTTGAAGCATTAAAATATGAACGAAATACCTTTGGTTCACTTGTTAGTCCAAATATTTCTTTCTTTACACACAGTTCATACGAACTGAGCCCAAAGTACAAAGTGAAAATGCTGACCCAGGAATATTTTTGTTTTCACATGGCTCATGTTTATGTACCGGGTAGTTTTTTGCTTTTCCTTAATCGTTCTTTAACTAAATCAATTCAAGGTGTGATAAACAGGACATAAAATAGCACTCTGAATGGTTGCATGGCTACAGCATCAATGTAAGACTGCATCTTAAAAGGAAACATTACCCAAACAATAAGCGTAGGTATGCTAAAAGATGAGATTTATCCCTGGCTATTGCAACATTCATTTCGAAAGTGTACAAGAAATGATAAATGAAGATATTCTTGTTGTGATGTAATGAATTTTTAGCATGTGAAGTACCATGGGAACTTGTACATGTATCATGCACCATGCTCTAGTTGGAAAGACTTTTTAATTCAATAACAAAACCTTTACTTTTCAATAAGGGAAAATAAAAGCTTAGAAAGTGTAAATTACATTTTTAAAATATACATAAAAGGAACAATTGTGACTCATTCATACCGGTACTCAAATATAGCAGTTGACAAATCTATTTCATTTATGCAAAATGTCACCCCAGAAGAGCAACAACATATGCAATTTGCATTCTGATAATTATACTACCAAAAATAATAGCAGGTGAATGAAATAATTCATCACTACACACCTGGGAATTAAGCATCCATAAATTTGAATACATTTACTTGATATTACTTGATAAACGACTTTGCATCGTACGTCACGTTATCAAGAAAATCGCAATACCCATGTCGTGCTGAGAAACTACATTTGCTAAGAATATTGCTTTATACCTCTCTCATACACGTTGATTTGGAATGTTGTAGATTAATGGGCAAGAAAACTTGAAGTAAAAAAAATGTATTGATGTAAACAAGAAGATTTTGATCACTTCTGTCTTTAACAATTTAGAATTTAGATTCTTCTGTTCTGAAACCTTTTTGTCAACAAAAAATGATTCATAAAATGTTAAATGTATCCAAAGGATATGATGTTTGTTGATATCCAGATTGTTAAGCATATTCTTCCGGTGAAAAGTACTTATTTGTTAATATTATATTAGGAGTAAGATGATTATTTTCTAGTAGCATAATGTCTTTACATTGTAATTGGTATTGTTTTATTGTCAACCATTTTCATTTCTTTAATATTTAAGTGATTGTTTTGTATATTTTTGATTTGTTTTCATAGTTGCCAGTGACATCATATATTTTGGTGAAGTAAAATAAATTGTTTGCCAAAAATGACATAAGTTACAAGCAGCATCTAAGTTACTATTCTGTCATTTTTTGTCAAGCTCTATTGTGTATGATCATGGAGTTATTGATCCCTTAGATCATCCTATCTCATCCAAGTTATTGATCCATTAGATCATCCTATCTTATCCAAGTTATTGATCCCTTAGATCATCCTATCTCATCCAAGTTATTGATCCCTTAGATCATCCTATCTCATCCAAGTTATTGATCCCTTAGATCATCCTATCTCATCCAAGTTATTGGTCCCTTAGGTTATCCTATCTCATCCAAGTTATTGGTTCGTTATAGAGCAGGGGTTCTCAAACTTTTTCCCTGACGGTCCAGATGTGATTTCCATGAAAGCGAAAAGGTCCGAAACAATGGACAATATTAGATCACTTACACATAATTGTCTTTACTGTACATTAGGTTTTAGAGTCAAGACAGTCACCTCTGATAACTGCCCATTTTATTTTGACACGTGCCCCTTTTCCTTTCTAATAAGGGCTCTTATTTACTTAAACATGTACCTCTTTTTATTTTAATGAGAGCTATTTCCCTATTCTCATAAAAAAAAAAACTTTCACCTCCGATAAATACCCCCTATCAAAAGCTTTTCTTTCAACTAATGCACATTTTACTTAATTATCATTGCCCCTTTTCATCCTCATATAAGTGCCCCCTTTTCAGGTGCGATAAGTGCCCCTAAAGATACGTGTCCCGTTTCCTTTCTAATAAGGGATCTATCCCTTTTTCGCCTCTTATAATCGCCCCTAAACAAATCTGATGGTGCCCCTTTTCCGTCGACAAATGCGCATTTCCCATTCTCGTAAGTGCCCTTTTTTTTTTTATCCCTGGTGAGTGCCTCTTATTGCAGGTGTAAGAAGTGCCCCGTTTTGACCTCTGATACAAACTGCCCCAGGCACTATCATATCTGAAAATAGAAATCAAGTTCACGACTATCCTACCCAACAGGCGTTTTCTTATCACCTTCCTATATAACGAGAACACGCTTTGCACAAAATACCTTAATATAATAATATACAGGTCCCAAGTTCTGGAATTCTCTCGACTTTGTGATTAAAAGGGTCTGTAACTTTTCATTACTGGCGGATCCAGGATTTTTTTTTACCGGGGGGGGGGGGGGCACAGAATCGCATGGGGTGAAATATATGAAAAACGATGGAGCGAGGCGTCAGCGGCGAGGGAGCGGAGCGACCAAGCGGGGGTATATGGGTCTGAGTAGGAAGCATTTGCAATTTTAGAACCACATTAGGCGCATTTTCAGGCACTTCCTGGAAAAAAAAAGTTAGAGAAAAGTGATCTTTCGAGTCGCGAGACGTTGTATATGCTTCGTTGCTGCACAATGCATAACGACGGTGGTCTGGTACTTCAACAGCAGTACGTGCACAAAATATCTCGAGTGTATACACTTTGATGTTATCAGTAGCGTCGCTAGACCTTTTTCAGTGGGGGGGGGGGGGTGTAGAGGTCATCGATTACCGACAAAACTAGCCACTATCACCGACAAATATATTAATACCAATGTCTACAAATTTAACCCTGTAAACCCCTGTATTTTTCAGTTCCCCCCTCCCCCCTCCTGCACGAAGCGCGGAAACTTTGACGTTTTATTAAATTATTAGAGAAAGAAGGCGATTCGTAATACCGCTCTCGACTCTTAATCCTAGTCTGAATTCAGTTTCCACCTCCCGCGCTAAAAAGCTTTGACGTTTCATTAAATGATTAGAGAAAGAAGACGATTCGTTGTACTGTTTTCGACTCTTAATCCTTGTATGAATTTAGTTTCCCCCTCCCGCACGAAGCGCGGAAGCTTTGACGATCCGTTAAATTATTAGAAAAAAAAGACGATTCGTTGTACTGTTTTCGACTCCTAATCCTTGTCTGAATTCAGTCCCCCCCCCCCCTCCCGCGCAAAGCGCGGAAGCTTTGACGATTCATCAAATTATTAGAGAAAGAAGACGATTCGTTGTACCGACTCTGATTCATTGTCTGAATTTTCAAAAATGTTTCTTTGTCCGAGAAAAGGTCAAAGTTCGTAGGTAAAAATAATTTGCCGGCCGACCGACATTATATATTTCACCGACTTCAAACTTCTGCACACGAGGATCGAGCAAGAATACCGACACAGCGGACCCGACACAGCGGACCCGACACAGCAACATAGTTTTCTACGCTTATCTTTCTTGCCCCCTCGACGTGGTGACTCCGCCCAACATCCCACCCCTCTTCTCTCAGGCTCTTACCCCCTCTCTCTCCTCTCTTTTATCCCCCGTTTCTTTTGTTTCCTTTTTCTCTTCTTAGTTGCCTTTTCCTCTCCTTTCTCTTTTTTTTTCTTCTCTTCTCTTTCCTTTCTTTCTTTACCTTTTCTTTTTTTTTCTTTCCCTTTCCCTCTCATTTCCCCCTCCCTCTTTTCTCATTTTTCCCGACAGAAGCGCAATTTTACCGACAATATCCTGTCAGGTGGGAGGGGTGTCGCACCCCTCACACCCCCTTTAGGTGACACCCCTGGTTGTTATCCCATTATTCTTTTAAATAAAATGCAATTTCTCATGCTCTCGCACCTCTCTTCTATCGTTGTTTAATTCTCTTTCATTTTTCCTTCATCCTTTAACTCACATAAATTCCATCTTTCCCCCTATTTTCCATCTTTTTTTTCTTCTTTTTTTAGGGGGGGGGGGGGCTAAACGTCTGACAAGAGGGATCCTATCATGGGTGTCGATCCCGGGGGGATGGGGGGATATATCCCCGAGAAAATATATAAAAAATTCATATTTGGGCAGGTCGCTGTTCCCCCCCCCCTTACGCGCGAAGCGCAGAAGCTTTGATGTTTCATGAAATTATTCGAGAAAGAAGACGATTCGTTGTACCGTTCTCGATTCTTAATCATTGTCTGAGTTCAGTTTCCCCACCCCCTCTCGCGCGAAACGCGGAAGCTGTGACATTTCATTAAATAATTAGAGAAAGGAGACGATTCGTTGTACTGTTCTCGACTTTTAATCCTTGTCTGAATTGAGTTCCTCCCTCCCGCGCAAAGCGCGGAAGCTTTGACGTTTCATTAAATTATTAGAGAAAGAAGACGATTCGTTGTACCGTTCTCGATTCTTAATCATTGTCTTAATTAATTTTGCCCCCTCCGCGCGAAGCGCGGAAGCTTTGGCGTTTCATTAAATTATTACAGAAGGAAGTCGATACGTTGTACCGTTCTTGACTCTTAATCCTTGTCTGAATTAGACCCCCCCTCTCGCGCGAAGCGCGGAAGCTTTGACGTTTCATTCGATTATTAGAGGAAGACGATACGTTGTACCGTTCTTGATTCTTAATCTTTGTCTGAATTAGACCCCCTCCCGCGCGAAGCGCGGAAGCTTTGACGTTTCATTCAATTATTAGAGAAAGAAGCAATTCGTTGTACCGTTCTCGATTCTTAATCATTGTCTGAATTAAGTTTCCCCACCCCCTCTCGCGCGAAGCGCGGAAGCTGTGACATTTCATTAAATAATTAGAAAAAGGAGACGATTCGTTGTACTCTTCTCGACTTTTAATCCTTGTCTGAATTGAGTTCCTCCCTCCCGCGCAAAGCGCGGAAGCTTTGACGTTTCATTAAATTATTAGAGAAAGAAGACAATTCGTTGTACCGTTCTCGATTCTTAATCATTGTCTGAATTAAGTTTGCCCCCTCCGCGCGAAGCGTGGAAGCTTTGGCGTTTCATTAAATTATTAGAGAAGGAAGTCGATACGTTGTACCGTTCTTGACTCTTAATCCTTGTCTGAATTAGACCCCTTCCCGCGCGAAGCGCGGAAGCTTTGACGTTTCATTCAATTATTAGAGGAAGACGATACGTTGTACCGTTCTTGACTCTTAATCCTTGTCTGAATTAGACTCCCTCCCGCGCGAAGCGCGGAAGCTTTGACGTTTCATTAAATTATTAGAGAAAGAAGACAATTCGTTGTACCGTTCTCGATTCTTAATCATTGTCTGAATTAAGTTTGCCCCCTCCGCGCGAAGCGCGGAAGCTTTGGCGTTTCATTTAATTATTACAGAAGGAAGTCGATACGCTGTACCGTTCTTGACTCTTAATCCTTGTCTGAATTAGACCCCTTCCCGCGCGAAGCGCGGAAGCTTTGACGTTTCATTCAATTATTAGAGGAAGACGATACGTTGTACCGTTCTTGACTCTTAATCCTTGTCTGAATACAGTTTCCCCACCCCCTCCCGCGCGAAGCGCGGAAGCTGTGACGTTTCATTAAATCATTAGTGAAAGAAGACGATTCGTTGTACTGTTCTCGACTCTTAATCATTGTCTGAATTGAGTTTCCCCCCCCCCTCCCACGCAAAGCGCGGAAGCTTTGATGTTTCATTAAAATTATTAGAGAAAGAAGACGATTCTTTGTACCATTCTCGACTTTTAATCCTTGTTTGAATTCATTTTCCCCCTTCCGCGCGAGGCGCGGAAGCTTTGACCTCTCATAGTGTAATGAAATTATTATGTCTGAATTGAGTTTCTTCCCCCCGCGCAGAAGCTTTGACGTTTCATTGAATTATTAGAGAAAGAAGATGATTCGTTGTTCCATTCTCGATTTTTAATCCTTGTTTGAATTCATTTTCCCCTTCCGCGCGAGGCGCAGAAGCTTTGACCTCTCATAGTGTAATGAAATTATTAGAGAAAGAAGATAATTCATTGTTTCATTCTCGACTCTTAATCCTTCTCTGAATTCAGTTTCCCCCTCTAGCGAAAAGCGCAGAAGCTTAACGTTTCATTAATTTTTTAGAGAAAGAAGACGATTTGTAATTGTACCGTTCTCGACTTGTCAGAATTTTCAAAATTGTATCTTTGTCTGCTCCTTTTCCGTCCTATGTCCTTTTAATGCCCCTACCGCCCTAGCTACGCATGCTTTAAAGGGAAAATGAAACAATCATGATTGTGATAGCACACAATTAGGTCAGTAGAAATGAAAGGGGAAAAAAGAATTTATTACACCAACCATGGAATAATCCCGACCGGG